CCTGATGTGTGAAAGACTCCAGCAAAAGCAAGGGTTGGAGGAATATTTCATGATCCTGTGGAAAGTGCTGAGACCTTGGTTGTTTTGTATGGGAGCTCAGGAGGCGTTTCTTTACCTGAGGAACATGGAGAATAATGAGGCATCCCCGGAGAAAACTGCTGCTATTCTTTCCTGAACTAAAAAACTCCCACATCTGTATGAAGCAGACAGCAGCTCACTCTTCACCTCCACACACTCTCTTTAGGTCATTAGCTGAGATTGTTAACGAGGAGGGCAGCTAGATGAGGCTGCAGTGGTGGGTTTTTTGGTTACGAACACCTGAACCCAGAGTGCACTCATTCATCAGAGGATGGCAACAACAAATGTCTGAAGTGCTGAGCTAGATTTGAAGAGGCAGCACACAGATAAAAGCCTCCAGAAGCCCTTTGCAATTCCCTTAGTCATCCATTCCCACCGAAAGCTTCTCTTTTGAAGCTTCCAGGAAGCCTGGTGCAACCTTTGGTTGTCCTTTTGGTCCGAGCTCTTATCTGTGTAGTGCAGACCCGGCCTCTCTCTGCTCGTCCTACTCAAAAACAGTTGTTATGGGATAAACAAACCATATTTGCTGATGCACATTCTCAGTTCTCTTATCAGCTGAACAACACGCTTCTCGTGCATGGTGGGTCAAACAAGCTGCTGGTCCAACTCCAAGAATTCCAGGGCAACTGCATCACGGCTCATTTTGAGCTTACTCACAGCTCTGGACTGCAAGAAATCACAACCACGTGATGATAGAGCATTATCTTGGACTGACCAAGAGTTTCCCAGTGTTACAAAGCGTATTTAGGTTGATGATTGCAGGCCTTAGGTCTTTTTTATTGAGGTATTAACATGATAAGCTGCTTTGGGTAGCTGTTAAGATGCTTCAGGATATGGTCAGACTGAAGACTATGTGTCTTATCGGAGAAGAATTTCAGCTTTATTGTGATTGTCTCTTAAAATGTAAATAAATAAGTAAAGCATCTCTAGCTCAAAACTACTTCACAGCTGTCCTGAAATACATTGGTAAAGTTGTTTGAGATGAGACACACATCTGAGGAGAGGAGAAAACCAAACCCCTGTGAGCTTTTACCAACCAAGCCAAGAAGTTACAGCCCTGTGATGAGGAAACATCTCAGGAATCATATGAAAGGTAGCTGGCACACTGGACTAAAAAAAGGGGTTAGTTCTCTTGGTCATGGCTTTAAAAGGTTATTCCTCTCTCAACACCACAAAGAAACAGCTTTCCATTGCTCTAGTCACTCCTGTTGCAGCATTCCTTCTTGCTACCCCTCCAGTTCCAGCATCTCCACAGAAATCAGTGCAGTCCATTCACCTTTGGTTATAGCTTTGCTGTCTTACATCAGTGTATAAATATAACCAGAATATGCCAGACAGAGAGCAGAGGTGATCACAGAGCACCTAGCAAAAGGTGTATTCAATTTTTTCATTATAAAAAGAAATATCTCTACTCTGAAAATCTTTTCAAAAATATCATTTTTTCATGCATTATCTGCTTTTCGCCCTGCGAAAAATTAAATATTTGAAAATTTACTTTTTAATAGAGAAGCAGTTTAACAGGAGCTTTTTGATCATCCCTTTGCTGTGGGTGAAGAACACAGGGGCTTCAAGAGTTGCTTGAGTATTTCTACACAGAGTGAAATGGTGGGTCAAGCTCTGTGTTTGAAGAATACACCAGAGATGTCACCAAATGTGTTTATTTTAGCAGAAGTTCATGGCTTTTTACCACCCAAGTGCAAATGTCTGCAGAGGCTGTTGAGTAATTAATGCTTGCAAGGCACTTGAAAATGGAACATGGTGTATACTCCTGCAAACTATGTTTAATTAACCATCAGAGATCTGCTGATTTATTAGAGACCTTTCCAAGATGTGCCTTCTCATTAGCCTGGTACAAAGCGACCCACAGCAGGAGGGAACAACTTACTTCAAACACGGTTCAACTTTCAGCCAGTTTAATCTTCATCCCATTGATAGACTTCTGAATCCTAATTTAATTATAGTTCCTTAAATGTTTTGTGATATCATATCTCAATCTCTCTGTTCTGTGTCTTTTTATGTTTTTTTGTCAGTTGTTGTGGGACAGAGGAATAGATAATTTTTTTCAATATCCATTAAAATTCTCTTTGTCTGCAGTGCAGTATATGCTCTATAAAAGAGATGAACCTGCTGCAAGTGAAATAAGCTGATGCCGCACTGTCTTTTCAGAGCAACAAAAATCTTTATAGATTATTTTCCCAAGTGTCATGAATCTCCTTCAAAGCCTTAAGCCACTGATACCAATTAATAAACTTAACAGTCTAATTTTCAATTCACACCCAGGCCACACAAAGTGGATGCTCACCCTGGCAGATGCTTGAAAGCTTTGCCTTTCAGAGATAAAATGTTACCTTGTGTGTGATAGGGATGTTAAGGTGGGGGTGATTCAGGAGCAGAAAGACCTGTTAAAGTGCAGCACCTGAGGCCTTCTTGTTTTCTGAATTTACAGTCTGGGGCTGGCAGTCATATAAATGAGTGATGCTCTCTGATGTTCTCTTCCAAGGCAGCTACAAAATTGGCAGGGAGTCTTGGGTTTTGTGCTGATGTGTCCAGAATTCAAATAATTTGATTCTTGGGTATAATGACAATTGGAGGCAGAGTATTACCTTGAGAAAAGAGAGGGGAGAGACCGCTTCTGGATCCTGTATTGAATTAACAAGCGATTCCCATTTACTCTCTCCCCTGAAAACTCCATTATACAGGGCTCTTATTGCCCTTATTCAAGGGCAGGGAATTAAAAAAGTGATATGGATGGTAATGCTCCCATCTTCCTACCATGACATTGAATAATGGGGACAAAGAAGGGAAATCTTGACAGATGATACGCCTTTTAAAATACTGCTGATAGTGAAAACACAGGAAGGATGGTGCATTTGAATATCAGCGATGAAGTCGTAGTCAGATTTTTGTGTTTTTTGCTCATGAGTTCAAGTCATCTTTGCTTTTATTTTTGCTGTGGTTTTTCGAATATTTTATCTTCTTGTTATTCCAGTTCCTTACTCTAAGGAGCATAACTGAGGTGAGGACAGAGGTGAAGCGTTGGTTACACTAATTCCAGGAGAAATCTGCTCTCTCTCTCCTCCTGGATGCGAAGAGCAAGAGTTGGGAATCCAGTAGGGAAAAGTCCACCAGCAGACTGATATAATTATACAGTTAGAGCAATGTTACTGCTCAAGAGGAGGCTCTTCTTTCCAGTTCAACCTAAGCTTTCTGAAGTTACATAGACTGCATCACACTGGTGGTCTTATAACAAAATAAGGATATGCACTGTGGACCCTTCAACATCCTTGCTTTACAAATACATTAATTTAGGTTTAAAAAAATGAATTTTGCTGTTTAAACTACACCTTACACAAAATGAGCATATTTGCATTAGGAAATCTTAAAAATTTTATGGAATAATTGACAATATCTGCATTCTACAAGTGTGTAATTGAAAAATAGAATATTTAACTACTTTGACAAAAGTCACACAGGGAACACCTTCTGAGGTGAGAACAAAATACAGATCTTGGTCTAGTTCATGTAAATCACGAAGCCTCCCTGAACTATTGACACTCTTACCTGATCTCAGCCCAGATGTTAACGAGGCCTCTTAAACTAAATTTTTGGTCAAACCTCTTTGTGAGGAGGAATCATGAAAATCAGCTCTGCAGCATGACCTAGTAAGGTTAGAAATGACGCTGGGAAAGGTTTAGGGAAAAAGTGTCAAAACCCTTACCTGTACTGATACCTGTTGATTCTGACCATGTCAGTGCTGTTGTTATATTGGTGTAACTGATTTTAGAGTCAGTGGTACCATCTTGCTGCAGGAGAGCAGGATGTAGCTCAAAACCTCTTGAGAGCAACTCTGAGAAGCCAAATCATGGCTTGCTTTGTCGAAGGGAAGCTCATTTTATCTCCCACTGCCCCTCACCAGTCAGTACTATCAGCAGATGCCAACCTGTCATCTGGGTACATGCACCAAGCCATGTAAATTAATTAATTAATTAATTAATTAGTTTAGACTTTGTTTCCAGCTCGATCTAAGATTTGCAAGGAGCCATTGTGAATGAAGAGAGCTGATAGCTGAATTTTCCTCTTGCACATCTCTCTCTTTCCTCTAGTGGCAAGAATTTAGGCTGGTAATTATAATTCCAACCAGCTGCCTGTGGCCTCCAGAGGTCAGCATATCACCGGAGAAGAGCTCAGTCACAGCGCCCTCAAACTGTACTTTTCAATGATTTCATTATGTGTAGTTTCCACTTCCACTAGTAATAAGATTTAAGAGTTTTGTCCCCAACACTTGGTGTGGCAACAAAATCAAGAAAAGTCAAACGAGCTCTCAGAATATCCATTGTAAAATGCAAAGTGTTGTCATTGATCTGTGCTACCACTTGGATGGGAGATGCCTTAAGTGACAAATTTATTGAAAATAATGAAATTGATACCCATAGGTATGGGTGTTATTCCTGATGTGTTAGTTCTGATGGGGGGAATGGACATGCTAAGCATATTCTAAGTGGATAGGACTTGTTCAGTTCTGTCAAAAGGTCTAAATTTTAGTGTATTTGAGCACAACTTGCAGTTCTAGTGATACCTATCTCAAAAAGGGTAACATATAATCAGAAAAACAGAGACAGATGAGAAATAGAGATTGTCAGAGGTGTGAAACAGCTTTCATGCAAGAAGGAATTTAGACTATTTATCCTAGAGAAAACAAGTTGGAGGAAATATGATACCACAGAATCATAGAATGGTTTGGGTTGGAAGGGACCTCAAAGATCAGCCAGTTCCAACTCCCTGCCATGGGCAGGGACATCTTCCACTAGACCAGGTTGCTCTGAACCCCAACAAGAAAATAAATAATACAACCAAAATCCAGCCCAACTCAAAAAAAAAAAAAAAGAAAATAAAAGAAAAGAAAAGAAAAGGAATAACAACACTTAATTCTTCCATTATTTTTATTAAAGCTGCAGAGTCTTACTACACACAACGAATATTTTATTGATATAATCTAAGTTAATAAAATAGTTGAACAACTCTTTAGATTTATATTTGTATAGAAATGATCTGGGGAACATCTCATCTCAAAACAGCAGTGCCCAAAAACAACTATTCAGCAGGATTTTTTAAAAGAAGAGTTTGGGACTAGAGGATGCACTGTTCATTCCCAAAGGAAAAACAAAAAATCCATGCAAAAATAACCCCCACCCTCTTCCTGCTTTCTTTCCCATCCAAAGTGGAAGGCCATGTGGAATGACCACGTCAGGGATGGTTCTTTCCTTCCAGTATTCCTCCTCACACCTAATTTGGGAGCTGTAGTCTAAACTTAATTCATTAAAACAAGACAAAAAGAAAATTTAATTGCACAATCCTAGTCTGCAGGTGATGACATCATAACATCTCTTTACAGAAGTCCCTACTCTTTCCCAGCTGGGAGAATTGGTTATGGAGTTGTGTTTGTCCCCATGGCTGATGTCATTTACTGTCCATGTGGTCACCACAAGTCAGTCTATCTACTATTGCTTTGCTCTCCCTCCTTCACCTATATGTAGTTTACATTCTATGTGGCACTGCCTGCAAAGGGCCGCCTCCGTGGTGTTTCCCCCCCTTTTAAATTCCACAGCTCCAGTGTCGATCTCCTCACTGCAGCCGGGCACCGGCATCGCCCGCGAGATGTCTGTGACAGACTTTGAGACACGTCCTTGCTAGATCATCCCATTGATCTTAGTCCACTCGTAGATGTCCTGTTCACACACTATGTCCGAGTTGATGAGGAGGTATCTGTCCCCAACACAGAAGTGTTTCTGGCAGGCAGCACACTTGAAGCATTCCAGGTGATACACCTTGTCCTTCACCCTCATGGTCATCTCGTAGGCCCGGATTCGCTTGTCGCAGGAGGCGCAGAGCCCGTCCTGGCCGAAGAGCCTGGAACAACACGTCAGAGGAGTGAGCAGAGTTCCTTTGCTGGGAGGTGGGAAAAACCACATCAAAACAAGGACACAACCCCAGTGCCTCGAGCCATTAGTCATAGCAGTGTGGAGTCAGAAAGACTTGGAAAAGACGAGGAAAGCTGCCGAGCAGAGCTGGAAACTTTGCAACACCAAAAACTGAAGCAGAAAATCCAAGGTCCTCACCTGCTTTCAGTATCATGGAAGCAGAGTATGGTTTGGGTTGGAAGGAACTGTAAAGTCCATGCAGTTCCAACCCCTGCCATGGGCAGGGACACCTTCCACTAGCCCAGGTTGCTCCAACCCCTATCCAACTTGGCCTTGGACACTTCCAGTGATGGGGCAGCCACAGCTTCTCTGGGCAACCTGTGCCAGGGCCTCACCACCCTCACAGGGAAGGATTTCTTCTAATATCCAATCTAAATCTCCTCAAATCTATCAATATAATTTACTTCTCTGATCAATGACCTTATCTTGAATTTGCTGAGCACTTCAGGAAGAGGTTCCCCAGAATATTGCACAAAGTTGTGCCCTGCTAATACTTCCACTTCTGTAATTGACAAATTACCTTTCCATGGATAAATGTTGCTTGTCTTCAGCTGTGCTTCTTAGTTTAAGGAAAGGATTAAAGGGAAAGAACATAATTTCTTTCATCTACCAGGAGATGTCACTGTTCGCTTCTGCCCAACAAAAATAATGCTAAGGTTACACAAAGGTTGCCAAATTTTTCATTAACGGGGGAAGATATTATCTGTTGCATTATTAAATAAATAAAAGGATTGAATTTCACTGCAAGAAAATGCATTAATTGTATTGCCATACTTCCTGTTGCTTCCATTTTAAGATGAAAAGTATTTGGGGAGTCTAATTAACACTGGATCACTGCTGGATTTACAAGTGGTCCCATTAGCAGAACTTAGTCCTTACTTTCAGCTTAGCAAAATTCCCATCAGCAAAGCTCAGGAACAGCATAATTAGGGAGTCCACTGAGATTTTGGTATAGTTTTTATTGGCAGGTAAATCAGCCTTCAGTGAAATAGCTGGAAAAATACCATTAAATATCATTATTCTGTTCCCTGACACGTTAGGGATCCATTAGAAGAAATGGAACACAACCAGAAGAAATGGAACACATTTTAATTGTACTCAAGAATGTAAAGATCCTTTGTTACCAATTTTTATGAAATATATTAATCTCCAACTAATCCTTCTACTTACAAATTTTGGGAAAAACTGACAGGGAGAGGGTTATCAATGAAAATACCCATAAGAAGTAACAACACTGACCCTGTAGGGTTCACCTGGAGCTGTGGGGTTATGTCTGTGCAGACCAAAAGATGCCAACAACCCCAAGTCCTAGGAGCTCTTACTATGTTCTTCACATTATCAAATAATTCTGATTTATCCACCACATGTAGCAATGCTTTTGTTTCCATTAAAAAATGCCTTTTTTTAAACAAGATTTTAAAGACTTAACTGTAAACAACTCCAAGTTTTTTATCTAACCAACACAGATAATCTTTAGATTTATCTAGAAGTTACTGAAGAATCCCAGCAATACCATAAAGCATCTGGACATTAAACCCAAAATTATGAAGACAGGCTGAGAGAGCTGTGGGTTTCAGCCTGGAGAAGAGACGTCTCTGGGGAAACCTTATAACACCTACCAGTGCCTAAAGGGGCTCCAAGAGTGCTGGAGAGGGACTTTGGACAAGGGCTTGAAGTGCCAGGACAAGGGGGAATGGCTTCACACTGCAAGAGAGTGGGTTTAGATTAAATACTGGCAAGGAATTGTTCCCTGTGAGGGTGGGGAGACCCTGGCACAGGTTGCCCAGAGAAGCTGTGGCTGCCCCATCCCTGGAAGTGCTGGATGGGGCTTGGAGCAACCTGGTCTAGTGGAAGGTGTCCCTGCTCATGGCAGGGGGTTGGAACGAGATGATCTTTAAGACCCCTTCCAACCCCAACCATTCTGGGATTCTACAAGTATGATATGAGTCCACATCTCAAACGCGAGCTGCGTCACACTCCCGGCTGCTGTCAGGCCTTAAGAGCAATTAAAAATCAATTCCTTATTCCTCGCTGTACTCACTAAATGAACAAGCAAAGCTGAAATGTGAAGGAGAGGGCTGAAGGTGTGAGGAGTGGGTTGTGTACCTGAGATAGTCCCTCCTGCAGAGCTTTCTGCCCAGTTTGTAGTAGAGGCGTCTCCCCACCTCGCCGAGCCTGCAGCCACAGAGGTCGCAGCTCAGACAGTCCTCGTGCCAGTACTGGTCGATGGCCTTCAGGAAATACCGGTCCCCAATGTTCTGCTGGCACCCTCCACATGTCAGCAGAGAAGGGGGGATCTGGAGGACTTCATCCACTGGCTCCCTGAGGGAATGAGAGAATCATTGGAGTTGGAAAATCAACTCTGATCTGAAAGCATCTGTGTGAGGAGAAGGAAAAGCAAAATAAAACACGTTGGAATAGGGATTATATCCTTGTTTTTATTCCATCTCACCAAGGGCTAAAGGACTAAAAAAGGCACCTGAGGGATTTTACACTTTCCATTGGGAAATGTAAATTTGAAGACTGAGTCTGAGGATGTCATTTCCCTGAACAGCATGAAATGAATAAATGCAACAGATGAGACCAGTGCCCAACTGGTTTGAGATTCACTGCTGGTTTTAATAGAGCCAGAATTTTACCTCATGTTAGTGCAGGACTTCTTTTTTGCCTTAGCCAAGGACATGAATCCACTGGGATGGGTCTCTATACTCAAGCAATTATTTGGGATTACACATTAGACACACAAATCTTTATTGTAATATTAGCATTGACTATTCAGCACCCTATGCTGTTGCTTTTTAAAAAAGCTCTGAAATCTAAGATGGTTCTGGTAATACCTGAGGATAAAGCAAGAATTTTCTTCAAAACTATTTTCTTAAGGAATTCTCTTCTTTGTCTTTTGGGGTAATTTTACAAGGTAAGAGAAGAAAAAAAAAAAGAACAGCAAAAAAATTCAAAGGAAGGTGCCCCCATGGGAGTCACTAAAAAATCTATTGGATCCATCCTCTAAGCACTTGCTTAATTTCAAACCTGTGGGAACTAGAGTGGACCCCCAAATTTTTCCATGTTATTTGTTTCTTGCTCTAACACAGAGTCCCTCATTAATTTGTTTCTGCCACTGGTCTGTCCTCCCTTGGGCTGGTGGGGGTAGAGGAGACCTACATTGATGGAGAAGGAGCTGGCTGCTCACAGTTTCCAACAGGCAACAGGAAAAAATTATATTACTCCTGCTTATTTACTGGATCAGCAGTTTTCTGGGCAAAAATGACTTTCTTCAGCAGGGAGGAATGACCTCTGGTCAAGAACTTCTGGGCTGAGAAAGTGATCCTGCAGTTTTTATTTAGGCAAGCTGAGCCCTGAGATATTATCTGGTTATATTCTGCTCTGGTTTTCACTCTTCTAAGTTTAAACTGCTGTGCCCTGCAAGTTGTGTGGTAACATCCTTCTCCTGCCAGCTCTCCATCCTGTGAGTTTTCATTAAAAATCATGGGGAACTCATGATTAGGCCCTGGTTTTTCCAAATGTATCCTTTTGGGCTTCATTACTCCCTTTCCTAATGTGTGGGCTCCATTCTGGCAACTCCTGAAAGCCTTCCAATAGGAAACACACATCATTATCCTTTATTATCCTTTATTTGAAACTTCAGATGCATTCCAAAATATTCCATCTGAGGGGTGTTTGGGAATCCCAAGCCAGGTTTCTTGGACAGCCCTAAACTCCAGAACAGCCCAACGGATGTTTATGCAGAACAGCATTCCTGGTTTACACATTAAGCTTTTTGATGTCCATAGATTCCTAAGCCAGCACTTAAGTCACTAGAACACAAGGCAGGTAAATAAATAAAGATTAAAAAACTTTGTAGTTGAAAGCTGGACATCATTAGGAGCTTGGATTAGCATTTCTTAAAAAACAGCATAAAAGAAGAGAAAATGTAACATGTAAAACATCAGATGTGACATGGAATGAAGTGATTTAATCCCCAAAAGCAGCGGTTCCCATGTGTTCACTCCGGGCTCCAAGTAATGGCATTTTTAGTATCTCACAGGAAACAAACCACGAATGACTCAATTTACTCTGAGTGATGTTTGAAGCGTTATCTGCAAATGAAGATTTTATAATTCTTTTTTTTTCTTCCCTCTTATCATGATTCCAAACAAGCCTAAGTGCAGTTATTAGCATGTGCAGGGCTGAAGTGACCCGGGGTCTGTGCTGAGCTCCCATCCCTGGGTGTGCAGGAGGGACGGGACAGCAGGAGCACAGCCCAAAAGCCTGGATCGGGGTACTGGAGCCAGTCCCTTCTCTGAGTGGAAAACCCAGCGAGGGAAATTCTCATCTCCTACATCCCGGCCATCAAGTCTTTCTCCATGCCCTTAGCAGAACACCCAGCCCCCACCAAAGCAGCTTCTATGAGCTCTTGAAAGTTGCATTATGAAAACGTGGAAGTTGGGCACCCGCAGATAAAACAGCCCCGACCTTCCACTGATGGGCTGCAGCGAGCTGGGCAGACCAGGGATGGGGCACAGGGGGTCCCTAGGGATGGGGCAGGGAGGTTTCCCTCCCTGAAAAACCTTCAGGCTTGGGAAGCGGGATGCTCTCCCTCTCTCCTAGCATCCCCAGCACCACGGCGTGGGATGAGTGGTGCCTGCCGGGGTGTGTGTGTGTGTGCGCGTCCTGCGCCTCTCTGCTGTCGCTGCTGCTCTTTCCCACAACTCGGGGGGCTCTCCCCAACCTCCCCCACGCCGCCAGCCCCGCGGGTCGGGGCAGCCTGAGCGCAGTGCCCGGTGTCCCC